GCGAGGCTGGGAAACAGACACACAGAAAAACAAAAACTAACCTGGAGAGGAAACCACACTAGCATGATGATAAACCTTTTATTCTTGTCCCTGTGTTCATTACCCTGCACCTGGCAGAGCGCCACTGTTTGCCTGTGAATGGTGGGTAGACGTTTGCCCCTGACCTTCCAGCTGTGTCAGGATGAGCTCTTTAATGCCACAGTGGCTAACTTTTCCCTGCTGCATTTTGTGTTTTGGCTTTATTTCACAATTACCATCATTTGTCATACCATGAAATCTTTTTTGGCTTTGCAAGAGAACAGACTTCATGTCTGAAGTATCTCTGTTGAATTAAAGAAGGTACATTTCTTTTTGACCTTGGAATTTCGTAAACAAATGAGCCACTCGTTGAAATTTTGTTCTTACTGCCATAATTTGTCATGCAAGCCTGTCAGATTTTAACAATGCTTGAGAGAGTTGCAAGGTAAAATACAGTATCCCCAGTTAAGTTACAGATACATTTTTGGAAAAGTCTCATGAAATATTTGGAACATATTTGTACCAAAAAATTATTAATTATTAATCTGAAATTCAAATTTGATTGAACATTCTGTTTTTGTATTTGCAAATCTGGTGACACTATTTAGATAAGGTTGCCTTAAATTAGGTTTGCAAATTACTTGTCTTCTACATGCATGTCTTAGTGGAGCGTGGTTGGCATTTAAAAGGGGAGGTCTCGGGCAAAGCAGTCATCTTGTCTGTCCGAGGAATGGGCCTCACAGTGCACAGGAAGTCCCCAAGGTGTTTGTTCACCTGCAAGGCCTTGCTCCTTACGGGGCAGGCCTGGAGCAGGGCTGTGCAGGCCTTGGGTGATCTGGAGGCTGGTCCCAGCCACCCTTTGACATAGATGGGGTACCATATTTTCTTGATATAGTCTCACAGTGTCTGTGGGGTCAGCCCAATAGCAACATTTGTATTAGCAGTGCGAGGTAATTACTCACATACGTAGCAGTAAATATTTCAGATGAGATGTTTTAGTCATTTAAGCAAACTTCAAAACTATTTTCATGTTTGCCTGGAAGAAAATGACTAAGGAATTCATATAAAAGAAGCGAGAGGGGAAATGTTCTGCTGATGAGAAAACACGCTGGCAGGCTGTGAGAATGGAAAATGTGGCTTGCCGGCCCGGGAGTGGGCAGCTCTGTGGACCCGGCGAGAAGCTGGCCGAGAAACACTTGGATGTGTGTAAGGTTGTAACACGTGAGCAGAGTGACCTCCCAAGTCAGACAGAAAGACGGCCTGGGTGTTAAGTGGTCCTGGTAGAACTGGTCAGCCACTTTCTAGTGGGGAAGGAATCCTCATATTTTCTCCGCTTTTGCTATCCCACAAAATAACTGTCAGGAAAGAATAATACATCAGGTCAGAAGGGAAATCAGAGTGAAACACGAATGAAGGTTTTTCAGTTTTCTTGACAGAGGCTGAAAGTAATTTTCAAGCTTAAAATGATGAGCGAAAAAGATAAAGTCAATAAACTTGACTGCACTGAATTGTACCTTTAAGAATCAAAAATCGAATGAAATTTAAAGACAAGCAAGGTGGGAAAAACCTTTGCTACAAATGTGAATGAACTGACTGGCTTACTCCATAAAGAGCTCGTCACGGGAGAAGTGGAAGCAAGTCAGTGTTCAGTGACAGTGGCCCAGGAGGCCAGTGGGCTACCAGGGATGGGTGCTCACCCAGGGCTTAGCCTGGCTTGAGGTTTTCCATCATAAACAGATGAGCAGATTGACTCAGGGAATCCAGGTAACTGGCCCCAAACCCTTAGCTGATGAGTGTCGGGGTTGTGATTCATTCATGGACATTTTTGATTTGGAAGCCCTTGGGCCTCAGGAGCTAGTCTAGCTGACCTTTTAAAGAATAGCCCCAGAGAAGAAATACAAAGGGCTAATTCGCTTATGAAAAATGTTCAACCTCAGCATTATAGACCTGCATATTAAAACCACAGGGTGGGGCCGCTGCTTACCTCTGGAATTAGCCAGAAAAAAATTCCAGAAAAATAAACAGTCCCTGGCTGGCTTGGGAGTTATGAAAGAAGCGGTTGCCTCCACTCCGGGTAGAAGGGTGAATGTGTGAAGAAGAGTTTGACTGTGTGTGTCTGGAATCTTAAAAAAGCGCACATGACCTCTGGCCTAGTCCTTCTACTTCTAGGGATCCTAAGCAAATAATCAGAAATGTGGACAGAGTTTTGTGCTCGAAGGTATTAATTGATCATATTTATGCTGTCTGAAAGTTGAAAACAACTGCAGAGTGTCTACTAGGGTAGCTCAGAATATGAAAAAAAAAAAAAAAAAAAAAAAAAAAAAAAAAGGTATTTACCAAAGTTTTAAAATAGTTGAAGACAGGGACAGGAAAACACAGAATTGTTTACACAATCTAATTTCAATAGTGTCTAGTTATGCCCAACAAAGGGGCAAAGACCAGGAAATGCTGTTATCCCACTGTTGTAGGTTTTAGGCTAATTTTATATCTAGTCTAGGTTATTTATTTATTTATGAGTCACTGCAACCTGTGTCTCCCGGGTTCAAGCAATTCTCCTGCCTCAGCTTCCTGAGTACCTGGGACTATAGGCGCGTGCCACCACGCCCGGCTAATTTTTGTATTTTTAATACAGACAGGATTTCACTATGTTGGTCAGGCTGGTCTCGAACTCCTGACCTTGTGATCCACTGCCTTGGCCTCCCAAAGTGCTGGGATTACAGGTGTGACCCATTGTGCCTGGCCTAGGATAGATATTTATATAAAAATTTTCTTTGCATGGATTGTTGTAAAATTCAGAAAAGAGGAAAAATATTTCTCTGAGATGGTAAAGAGCAGGCTGGGTGGGAAATGTTGGCTGTGGAATTGCAGAAACTAGCTGGGGGATGGCTGAACTTGAGGGGCTGGGCTGGGAGATAACCGCCCTCTCCGATGGCCAGGGGAGCCCAGCTCTCTCCTCAGCGCCTCTTGCGGGGGTTCTTGGGGATCTTACTCTTTCCTCCCAGACACCACATGCTCTAAACAGCCTTTCCCCACTTTCTTAGTCAAAAGCTTACATTTCCAACAGCCTGTATGTTTGTCAGTAGGGTATCAGTGAAATGAACTACACCATGCATCTACTTGGTGAGCTGTGCTAGAGTGCCAACAGAGATGATGATTGTTGAACTGAAAAATTTCAAAAATGATATGAAAACACCATATGAGGAAGATGATTATGATTTGGTTTTTATCAGGAACATTTGTAATTCTCATGTGACTCAAGTAGAGTATACATGTTCTCTGTAAGTAATCCAAACATTGCATAGATGCATGTGGTAGTTTTCGTTTTTGTTATTCTGAAAAAAGAGAGGTTCCATTTTAATTTTTTCTTCATTTTTTTAACAAACAGAAAATACAGATTTTTATAATTAGTGAGTTTTACATCTATGATTAAAAAATAAAGCTATTTCTTTTGAAAGTGGGGAAAGAGAGAAGCTGGTGAAAATGTTTTCCTTCCTTAGGGCTTTGTTCGTTTTATTTTGTTTTCTCCAGATATTCTGGAGGAAGGTGTGAACGTGACTTTGCCTCCCAGGGAACAAGCATCCTCCTTCTAAGTGGTAGATGTGGGTGAGCTGACCCTGCTGGAGTCTGTACCCTGGGCTGCCCTGTGCCTCCCCCCATTGTGAGTGGCCTGTGAAGCACAGCGTTGACCAGACCTAAACCTGTTTGCTCCCAGGTCAGTGTGCACACAGCAGAGAAGTGAGCGTCCATCACATTTCATGCATGAGCAAGGAGGGCCCTGGGCAGAGAAGACGCTTGCTGGGAACCATTCTGGCAATTAAGAGTCAGTCACATTCCCAGGGCCCGCTGCTTGGGTGCCTTGTTGAAATCAGTGTGCTTTTCTGAGTTTCTTGGGCAGTTTGGGCACTGCAAAATGGTGGGAAGGAGCCTGGACCCTGTAGCTCGAAACCCAGAACAGCCTGGACCACTGGGTGATGAGGGTTTTGAGGATAGTAACTCACCTTCCCGTGCCTCAGTGGCCGCCTCTGTGGCGGGAGCCCCGCTTGGCAGAGGGAAGTCTGTGTGCATGTTGGCCATCAGAGCACTTTGCAAGCCAGATGTTTCATGTGCTTCAGTTTGCAATCTGGAAGGTCTCTTTTGTGTGAATAGGAGGGAATTTGCTGATGTCAACCATGATACTTGTGACAGTATAAATATTAATAGTAGTTTTGGTGCAGATCTTGTACTTCTGGCACCGTTCAAACCTTTCTAATTACAGAAGTAGTAGTACATATGCATCATGAAGATTTCAAAGATTTTATCAATCTGTAAGAGAAAATGAACATCTCTGCACCCCGTTAGTCACTGATAATATTTATAAGCATGTACGTATTAAAACGCACATTTTCTTTCCCCACATTTGAATGTCTCTTTCATTGGCTTCTAGTCCCATGCAGGTGCGTTTCTCAAACTGTGGGCTTAGGGTCATAATATTGCTGTTTTACGTTTTGCCTTAAAGCGTTGTTCTCATACTAATGACTAAAAAAAATGCCACGGAGCTCCTTACTTACACTTTGTGGAAGGAACCACTTACAAAACACTTTCTAGAAATTTCTGGCCTAGGTAACAGAACGCCCAATGCTTGATTACCTGTCGTTGTTACAGAAAATGCATGTGCTTCACGGAGTGTTCATTATTCATATTCACTGCCTAAATCAAGCAGTTGGCCGTAACGCTCTTTGAATTGCTATACAGGGAAAGCTATTTAAGCCCAGACACAGAAGTAACTTTTAAATCTCTTCTGAACAGCTTGCACCTTTTCACGATGTTAGCTTCCCTTAATCAGTCTTATGTTCAACAGCTATCATTGAAAATGAATGAAGTAGATAAGTGGAAAGGAAGTAAGGAATTGAGGAAGAAAGGAAATGCTGGGGAAGCTGGGTGTTGAAAAGTGTGGGACGCTGCTTGTGAACTCATGGCCTTTCTGCTGTGGTCCTTTTTTTTAGGACAAAGTGGAGCAGACACCTCGCAGTCAACAAGCGCCGGCAGGACCAGGGCTCCCTGCACAGCCTGACCGACTCGTGAATCGCCAGGGTAAGGAATGAGCAAACTCAGGAACACTCCCAGGTCTAGCTTTGCAGCAGTGGCAGGACCTGATATTCTAAAACGTTGCTCTTGACACTAATAGGTTACTATTCTAACACTGGTTCTTCTTTTCTCAGTAAGGACAATGAATCCCAAAATAGAGAAAGATCCTTGGTTCTGATACCTTCATGTATTTCCTTTCAATTAGCAAACTTCAGTGAGCAAAACCTCAAGATCAGTTTCATATGAGTTACCTAGGTTTCAGCTGAAAGGCGACTTGATGTTGCCTTTTGAACGCTGCTCCCAGGTGAATCCTCTTGATTTAGGCATGCGTATGCTTCCAATTAAGGTGGTTTTGGGCGTATGTACTCTTGGTCTTCCTCTACCCTTCTCTGGTTCCTTCTGTTCCTTCTATTAATTTAATTTCTGATGAGGTTATTGTGGGAAAGGGAGGAAAGGGAACTACCTTTAGGAAATTAGACTACTTAAGAAGTTAGATCTAATAAATGAAGCTTTGCTGCAGGATGGGAAGCCTGAAGATAGAACTGGAAACATATACACGGCCCATTGTTTGGCTTGTTGGAGAGTTTAAGTGCCGGACATCACAGGGCTTAGGGCTGGTGGGAATGTGAATATTCATTTTCTTAAATTACTTAATGAGAAAGGTTGACAGCAAAAATAAAAGCTGGGATCTGACCATGAAGTCAAAGCAATATTTTTTCAATTATTAGAAGATTCATAAAAGCCATCAGGGTTTTCCATGGCAAGCATAATTTTAGGATCATCTTTTAGAAAACTTTGAAAGGATATGATGCAGGGAAAGGGTGCCAATTTGTTAGTATTGACTTCGAAGCTTAAGAAAATTTTAACTTGTTATACTGTATGCTCACATACGATCTCATTTAAACGGAAATAATTTAAGCCTTGGTGTTAATGTTCATATAAAAACTTAGGCTAATACTTTAATTAGGAAACTAGAAAAAATTACACTGAAAGAACTTTTCAAGTGTTACCTTTTATCCTTTGTCTTTAAATTGTATACTCAAATATTCTACAGATATAAGCCACCTGGGTAGTAGTACGATTAAGGGACATTTGCAGCACGTGGAGCACATTCCGTGTAGAAGAGAGCTGGTTCTCTTCCGTGGCATGGAGTTACACAGTACGCTGTTGAAGCCGGGTCTCCGGTGTAGAATCTCTACACCGGAGACCCGGCTTCAATACCTTCATTTTCAGGTGTTCTCCACACTTGAAACAGGGCTTAAAGGAAGAGATGAACATGTCCCTGTATTGAACCTCACTTCTACTCAGTGACCCAGAGAGTTGATACTTTAAGCGCACCCTTGACTTTGGCCAACTCTCAGTCCTTTTACGTACACATGACATGTAAAATGGGAAAGCCAGAAGGACTCAGCCTTGCCCAGACCCAAGCATGTCCACAGAGCATTGAACAGTGCTGTCCCCTTAGGGCTGTGGCTCCGAAAGCGGCATGGGCACCTGGCGCAGGTGGTAGGGAATACAGAGGGCTGTGCTTTCCCTTCTCCGTCAGAACCAGGCCCATGGTATCCAGCTGGGAGCTGTGGTGGGGCTCCCCTGTTTTCAAAAGATGCTGGAAAAGGGCTGTTGCCTGGGAGGGATTACAGTGCATGTGAACTCATGGCCAGGCAGCCAGGCAGAGTGCATGCAACCTTGCAGCCAGGCAGAGTGGATGCAACCTTGCAGCTGGAGCTAACCTAAACAGCCTCCCGGTGCAGTGACGCCGACTGCAACCTTCACAGTCTGTATGAGGCAGCAACTCCATACTGTCCCAACTCGACCACTCAGTGCAGAGGGAGAGGCAGGAACAGAAAAACAAGACCCACCTAAAGCAAGTCTGTAAACCAACATTCCAAAAGCACTTGAAGCAGTCCCATACCAAGAAATACAGAATAGCTAGCAAAACCAACAGATTACCAATTTAGCCCATATGCAACTAAAAAAGACGTGTGACAAAGGCACTGAAATACGTGTTTATAGTGCTCAGACAGATGCATGAAAGAATGTCTATAAGATAAGGCAAGAAACTACGAAACACAAGAGGAAATGAGGCAAGACCTGGGCACCCCGGGCAGTGCCCGAAGACAAAGCAGTGTACTCCCAAGTGCAGAGGGAAACGTAACCATCCATCTAGAATTTTATGCCAACATATCACCAACTAGGAAAGGCAAAATAAACCTTTCTCAGGCAAAGATTGAGGAAAAAATGTGTCACTGGCAATCTTCACTAAGAGAATAATTATTCTTTTATTTTTATTTTTTGAGACACCAAGCCTTGCTCTGTCACCCAGGCTGGAGTGCAGCTCATAGCTCACTGCAGCCTTGAACTCCTGGGCTCAAGCGATCCTCCAGCCTCAGCCTCCCGAGTAGCTGGGACTACAGGTGTGTGCCACCACTCCCGGCTAGTTTTAGAATTATTTGTAGAGATGGGGCCTTGCTGTGCCACTCAGGCTTCTCTCAAACCCCTGGCCTCAAGCTGTCCTCCCATGTCGACTTCAGAAGTGCTTGGTTTACATGTGTGAGCCACAGTGCCTGGCCTAGAAGAATGATTAAAAGTGCTTCTTGAGGAAGAAGGAATGTGGATACTAGGGAAACATGGCACATATGGGAAAATAATATGTGATGAATACTCAATTGTGTATTTAAAAATGTTAGGTGCAGCTAAAATATTGGCTGTAATTACTAAAAGAATGGGCATACAATCTATGGTTCCCAACCAGCAGAAAAAGATATAAGGGAATATATATGAAAAATAACAGCAGTCAAAGAACATCAAGTAGAAATGGAAAAAAAAAAACAACAAAAGATGTGGAGAGAGAAAGGATGTTAAACATGAAATACAAAATCAGGTAGTAGGGGTAATTCCAAGTCACTTCGTGATAGCCTTAACACACTCAAATTAATAGACACACATAGCTCCCTCTACCCAAACTCATGATTCTTTTCTAAAATCTGTGTAACTTTTTGAAAAATTGACTGTATATAGAAAGTCGCACTCAATTTTAAGCAATCTGTTTCATGCAAGGCTTGTTCTTTGACCCAGTGTGAATAAATCAGACATCAACATAAAAAGTTCAAAACAAATCACATAAACATGCATGTGGAAACTTTAAAACACACCCGCTCTTATTTTACTTATGAGTTAGAGAGGAAATTGCAGTGGAAATATCAATCATTTAGAACTGAATGAAAGTGAACACACAAAAGTGAAAAGTTGTATAGTGCTGCGAAGGTGGTAAGGCTAAATTTCTAAGCTTCAAAAAGAGAAAAATTAAAATTAATGAAATAGAATAAGCCTAAGGAATGTAGAAGGAATTAATTATAAAAATTAAAGTCAGAAATTGTTGAAATAAAGAGAGTATCAATAGGAACAAAATCAAACACCAATCTTTTGTAAAAATGACCATAAGAGCAAACCTCTAGCACAGACACTAAGGAGGGAAAAAGGTGCCTGAGAAAATCAAATTAAGAGCACTTTAGCAAGTTTTAAAAACAGCATCAAGAAAACTGAAAAAAAAGAAGAAAAGAAAATCTGAGGGAAATAGATGATTTATTGCAAAAATGTGAAGACAAAATGGACTCCGGAAGAAATATAAAATTATAATAGAGAAACTGCTCTGGAAGAAATAGTAATCAATACTACATCTTCAGAAATACTCAAGTGGTTTGCAGATGAGTGATATTAAACTTTCAAGGAACAATTTCTCTTTTTATACACACTGTTTAAGAGCGTTACAGTGTGTACAATCTTAAAACACTGAAGGCAAGAGCTGATGCTCTCCCATTCATCTAATGTTTGTATATCTTTGAAACAGTACAAGAAATCAAAATTATAATACCATTTTACATTTCAACATAAAACAGAAAGTCCAAGTAAAACACTAATGAATCAAATTCAGTACTTTATCTTAAGTGAAATGTAAAAGAAACAAATGTTCTGACCAAGTTGGGTTTCATATAGTAGTGAAGGGATGGTTTACTGTCGTAAAGCAGTGAACACATTGAACATCTCAGAATTAAAGGGAAAAAATAATCATTTCCTCTGACAGAAAGGCATTTAATGTAACTCTCCAGTCAATACAATCCATAATAAATAATAACAAAATTTGTACTAAACCAGTACTGAAAAGAAACCTCCTTAACTTGTTAAAGTTTATTTGTCAAAAACCTATAGCATGCATCATACATAATGGAAAACTGTTAGGGTCGTGTTCCTGAAAATCTGGAATTAGACAGGGGTGCCTGCTGTCACTGGAGGTCTTAGACAGTGTAATAAAAGAAGCAAATGAAGAAACAAAAATGTAAACATTAGAAAGAAAGACTGAAATGTGTGTCTATTTGCAAATAGTTATCCAAACAGAAAATTCACACAGATATTGTTAGCACTTTTAAAATGGGCAAGAATTCTCTAAGAGAGCAGATATAATGTGAGATTAACATATAAAATGTAAAAGTACTCCTGTATGCCAAGAAAAAACAATTAGGAAACGTAATATGAAAAGAAATCCCGCTTATAACATTGACAAAAATTATAAGCTACCTAGTATATTCAGGAAGATTACCAGGCATTGTAGGACGTTTCAGAGCATTAAAAACAGCCTGAATAAGTGGAGAGGTATACTATGATCATGGATCAGGAGACGGAATATAGTGCAGATGCCACATTTTCTCATGTTTATCTTTAAATTTAAAGCAGTTGCAGCCAACTGCTAAACCGTCTTGTCACGTGTGACTTGAAAAATATTTCCTAACTTCAGTAAGGAAGAGTGAAACTCAAGAATTCGAAGACAGATTTTAAAAGCAACAAGGCATGCGGAGGAGTGATTTGCACTATCAGATAGCAATCCCTCTTGTGTGATATCACAACTAAGAAAAAGGATATTATTGGTTCAAGGGCAGACAAATAGACCAGAGGACCAGAATAGATATCACATAAGGAGACCCACGCGTTTATGGAAACTAATACAGCATAGT